CATTTCTTTGCTCGGCATTTTTTGCTAGCAGGAGTACTGGGACCAGTCTGCTTCCCTTACTAGTGCTGCTTTCTGTGCCCCTCTAGATGAAACAACAGACAGAAAAGTCCTATTCTAGGGGACAGAGAGGAAGACAAAGCTATTGCTCATCTCTTACAGCCTTGCTGAGAAGTCTGATGTGTTTTCACATCTCTGTTTACCAGTCTCTGTAATAACATACTGGCTGAATAGTCATGAGGCTCAGCTGATTAATGTTCACAAATTGCTTTGAGATCTTCAGTGGCAGGTGCTATAATAAAGCAGAGTGTATTGAAACCCAGACATGAATGCTAGCTATTTACCTACCTTTGGATGAATGATAGAATAGGTACCATGAAAACTAGGCTACTTTTTCTGCCAAGTTCAGGGTAGCACTTCAAGCTAGTGCAATCGAAAACATCTGATCAGAGAAATGCAGTTCATATTCATTGCAGAGTTACTTTCTTTCAGATGAATCATAGTTTTCAATGAGAAAGTAAATTTAATAGCCTGCAGATCCTACTCAATATTATTGCAATAATGTTGTAGAGCAAGACAGGATGCCCTTTAGCTATTCAGTGTACTTCTGCTGAGAGTGTACCGAAGCAGCAAAAGATGGGATACAGAACATACATTTGAAGAAACACGAACATCTTCATATGTTCTTAGACTGGTTCAAAATGTGAAATATGCTGAACTTTTAAAATGAAGTTTGTTGTATTAGATAAATGATGCAAAAGGAGTCCTATTGTCATGGCTCAATTTTGTAAAGAGCTGTGTTCCTTTTATTCTTCTTTTATAAAGTGATGTTAAAAATATGTGTTGGCATTTTGATCTGATTTCAGAAACACAGCAGAAGCACTTCCAGAGCACTTTTGCAAACCGGTGAATAATGATACAGCCTCCTCCTAACTGGGCATGGGAGTATGAGCTGACATAGAATTTATGTATATCTACATACAGTTTTATATATTTCCTCTTAATTCTTTGATTTAATTAGAAACCCTGGTAAAGAAATAAATAAAACAGGTATGACTGAAGAAAATCAAGGCTATAGTGTCAGAAACAGTTCAACTTATTATTCAGTCTGACTTGAACAGTATTGTGAACATGCTATTTAATACAAGTGTTCTTGTCATACTGGCACAAAACAGAAAGCCTTCCTCCCATGAAAGAAGTATGAAAAGCAAGAAGCAATGAGGAGGGCATTGGATGCAGCTGTAGAAATATCTCACTTCTCTGCCACTGTCTCTGCCACTAAAACATTCCCAAGAAGTGGAGTGAGGAGGTGGGCTTGGGGAAGGTTTTTTTGTACAATTGTGGGTGGTTACGTAGACTCATGTGATGCATAAAATGTATCTACAGCTCAGAGAAAATGTGAGACTCTGTTTGGCACTAGATTATTTTCTTCATAACACAGCTTCTTTGTAGATGGTGTCAGTCGTTACTGATAAAAGATGAAACTCTTCTCTGCTTTTGTTAGAAATGTCAGTGCTAGGTACCCAGCTACACTTATTATATTGCTTGTTTTATTAATTACAAATGATGCAAAATGTTACTATGGTTTTGGTAAAAGTGTTCTTTCTGAACTAATCTTTCTTTCTCTAAGGACCACTGGACAACACATAAAATCCGCAGACAGTGTGGTCCACAAAATTATTTCATCTCCATTACTGCATATGTTTGTCCTTCATAGAAAACCCCTTTGGTTTAGCCAGAGTTGTGAAAAATTTCCACGGATATTGGAAATACACAGGATTATAGTTTCCTTACATTTAATGGTTAAGCAGAAGCTAGTTTCCTTTGAATATATGCACGCACACCCTGAACCTCAAGAAAGGGTCAATTTCCGTGATGAGAAGAGAAAAAATGCATTTGGAATGCTAGTAGTCAGTTGTCCAGTAATGATATTTAAACACCTGTGGTTTTATTTCCAGAGTAAAAAAAAATTATCATTAAAAGCTAAGGTTATTAGCTTGAACTTGCCAAAAGGAGATTGCGAACATTTGCAATTTTGAAGAATCTTTTCTTCTGCTGTGATTCAATGTTTGTCGTTTTTACGTAAATAGAATTTAAACACCATTTTCTAAGTAAAATGTAGTCAATTAACTAAAATACTATGCTTTTTATGTGGTCACTGGTTCCTAAATTCTCTTCTGGATTTAGGTTTTGCAGGCCCATTTCCCACACTAAAACATGCTTTTTTCTCACACTCCTTTAGCTGTGCATTTCTGCTAGAGCTGGGCTAAAGACCCCTCAAATCACCAATTACTGATATAGGCGCCATCTCAGAAACAGACTTCATGAGGATGATGTCAGTTGAACTTTTTAGGGCAGATGGTAGTGGACTACATATTTAGGTCTGGTAAAAAATCAGTATATGGAAGTCTGGAAAAAGTATGTCCCTGCCTTGAAGGGAGAGAAAATAACACACCCTC